CGACCACCGTCCGTAAAAAAAGGTAACTTAACTCACGATTGTATTCTCTGAGGTCATAATATATCACCGAGATGTTACGAACTGCCGCGAACTCTGTAACTCTTCCACTATTAAACTACTGATAAAAATTATTTAATCCATCGAGGGATGTTATAATAAGATAATGATCTACTTCTCTATTTCTAGGCTGTGGTGAACGTAACGAGGAGCCAAGAGTGGTCGGCGGCGCGGGGTCCAACGTAAATGCATTTCCTTGGATCGCTCGGCTAATTTACTACAAATCCTTCGGCTGTGGAGCTTCTCTCATCAATGATAAATACGTCGTGTCAGCAGCACATTGCGTTAAAGGGTATTTGAAAATCTATTCTGAAAGATAGACAAAGAGTAGGGTATTATAGTTTCAGTCTAAATAATATTCCCAAATCATATAGGTAATGAAGGCGCGCACATCTTTGTCTAAACTAAGGGATAACTGATTTGTAGCTCTTTGATTCCTATAACCATATGGAGGTGCACAACTACTAGGTTTTTAATTGTACAAATGAACTGTCAAATTTGCTGCAAAACAATCGTCAATCGCGTAACAATTGTACAATAGTTTAGTCAAAGTTGTGTGCCCGCTCTAAGTATAATTCTGATTCGATATATTTTTGCAGTTTCATGTGGTTCTTGTTCCGTGTAACATTCGGCGAGCATGACCGCTGTTTGTATGAGTCCCGGCCTGAGACTCGGTACATCGTGAAGATGCTTGTACACAACTTTACGTTAACAGACCTCACTAATGACATCTCCCTGCTGCAGCTCAATGAGCCTGTGAAGTACTCGCATGCTATCAGGCCAGTCTGCTTACCCACTGTTTCAAGTAAGTCTAGTGTTACACCATTGAACATTGTTAAGATAGAAAGAGACATCTATTGCTCTGAGAGTACGGCTGTTAGTTTATGGTTTCTATTAAATTAGGTGCTATTCTATTCTTTCAGGCGTCAGGTCATAGGCATGGGTAAAGATTTAAATTGATCTTGTTATAAAATGATTTTATTTAAAGTGATTATTATATCTTTTTAAATTTTTCCATTCGCTAGGAGGGGTTCATACTGCCACCTGGCCACGTCCATTCCGTCACGTACTTAGATCTGCACCATGATTTGTACAAGCCGCGTCATCACATTAAAGCCAGTTTAATTACGTTGAAAAGACCATCGATTATTTTTACCACAAAAAGACACTTAGTTATAATTTGAGTTTTCAAAACGTAAAACATTTAATTTAGTTGTAACTACAATACATTTGATATCTCATTGTTCCATTATTGTCAAACGACTTTATTACGGTCGAATTTATTTCATGGGCAATATTTTCCTTCGATCACTTTTCGGTATTGATACAAGACTATTAAGTCCTAATAAGAAAAACATAACACCTTATTTCGGTATTGGCTAAAGAAGTTTTATTAACAAAGTAAAATAGAGAACTAAAGATGCCATAAATGTTTGTCGCCGGACACTTCTAAAAATTATTTTAAAAACGAATGGAAAAAAAATTATAAGTTCCTACACATTAAGTATTATTAATAAATGTATTTTATAAGAAGATTTTAAATGATAATGACTACTTTATTACAATAACAAAGACGATAGAAAAGTAACGATAATAAGCATACAAGAGACGTAATTTTACGTTTAAAATAAAAGATTTTTTTAAAATTACATGTTTTCTGCATCGGTATTTAATGCCTTCTGCTGATTTAGACATAAAATTGTTTTTTACTGGACTTATTTGCTAATCAAAGTCTAAAATTAAAAATAAATAAACGACTTTTAAAATTTATTTGTTGTGAAATCTGATCTTTATTCATAAATTGGAAAAGGGTTCTGATTGCCTGTGATAAAGGTTAATGGACATTAACGACGCGTATTTTCCTTGTCAATTCACGCTTTTTAGCTTATCTTGCAAAAGTGCAACATTCCAACCATACCGAGGAACATAATCATACTAATATTATAAATGCGAAAGTTTAGATGGATGGATGGATAGATGTTAGAGTTTGTAGCCTCAACGGCTGAAAGTATCTGAATAAAATTTGGCATAGAAGAATGACATAGTCTTGAAGAACACATAGGCTACTTAGTTTTTTATTATTCCTCGTGGACGGAGTCGCAGGCGAAAGCTAGTATTATTATAACTATTATGTTATTTATATAAATATTATTGTTTCAAAGTAATTAACATTTAAATCGTGAGGTAATTTTGTGGTTAAAAGCGAAGCGATCCATTGAGCGGAAGTTAATAAATCACACACTCAGTTACTTTACATAAAACGGAAGAATATGTGAATAAAGAAAGAGTTTTTAGGTAAACGAATATGTAAGAAGTAAAATTTGTATCACTTTTCAAAAGTTCATATTTGTTTTTTGAGGTAAAGTTTTTATTCTAGACGATATATTTACTGAATATTGTAGCTATATCATTTACCACTGAGGTTAGAATATAATTTTAAAATAGTTATTAGTTCATTAAAGTTTAGTATTAGTAAATAATAATTCATTTTTTCTCACAGGTGATCTGTTCCACGGTACACTAGCGACAGTCGCGGGTTGGGGGGCAAAAGCTGAGACTGGCAACTGGTCTTGTACATTGCTGGAGGCGCAACTACCAGTACTCAGTAATGAGGAGTGTCGGAACACTAACTATAACGAGTCAAAGATCAGAGATGTTATGATGTGTGCCGGTTTCCCTGCTACCGCGCATAAGGACGCTTGTACCGTAAGTACAGTAATTTTATTAAAGTAGGTACAATTTTACTTCTTACTAATATTATAAATGCGAAAGTTTAGATGGATGGATGTTTATTAGTGTTAGTAGCCTAAACGGCTGACTGGATCTGGATGAAATTTGGCATAGACGTAAAGGATAATCTGGAAGAACACATAGGACACTCACTTTAGTTTTTTTTTTAATTTCACGCGAGCGGAGTCGCGGGCGAAAGCTAGTATACTATGTTTTGTATATCTTCACTAGCTCTTTACTAAGGCAGATTTAAAGTTAGTATTTATAAGTTAAGATGTCTAAATAATGCAAATAATTATACTTCATTTGAGTCATCTAAAAATGACATTTTAAGAATTATTTGAAAGCATTGCTACATATTAAAAATGGTACTTATTTAATTCCTGGCAAGATAAAATAAAAATACATTGATTGAATAATCAATTTTCGTTTATCAGCACCAAAATTTGTCTCAAATTATTTGTCTGGCTTTAACTTTGCATTTTATTCTATAAAAACAATAAACCAATAACTTCGATACGGTCGTTTTGTGTAACGATGTTAAATTTGTTTTAGAGCCCTATAAATCATTTGTGTATATTTAATTTGACACACGTTCAATGTAATTTAGGTACGCTTGTAAATATTAATTGGTACATCCGTAGTGTACCCAAAAAGTTGATGTACCAATTTTGATCTCAATGTTTTTGTGCGTTTCCAATTAAGAGTTTATGGAGATTTTTCTTCGTACCTAATAATTTAATTTCTGGTACGATTCAGAATTTAAAAAAAAACATGTTGCTTAACTAGTAAGTAGAAATGTTTAATTATATTATTTTTATACTACACAGGGTGACAGCGGTGGACCTTTGGTTGCGGAAAATGTGGAACACGCATACGAATTAATTGGTAAGGAATTGTAACATTTACTTAAATATTTTATTGATATCTGTATATTTCATAAACTATGACAGACGAAGATCATTTACACGATCTTAACTGAAATTATACTCGAGTTATTTAATTTCAGGTATCGTTTCGTGGGGTTACGGATGTGCAAGGAAAGGTTTCCCTGGAGTGTACACTAGAGTCAACAAATATTTAGACTGGATAAAAGATAACACTCAAGATGGATGCTATTGCGCGTACTAGTATAAAAAATAGAATAAACGCTTTCTTGAATCTCTCCGATTGGGTAACCTCTCTTAACAGTTATATTTGCATTAGACCTTTTATATCAAATTAAGTTTTAAACTAGATATTGTATCATATTATCCACTTTATTTTAATATCCAATTATAGTAAAAAATGCAATGTTATGACAATGGTAGATGGTCACATTTTTAACTGTATGAAAAATAAACCCTTACATAAGAAACATAACTTTTTTATTATGCGTTATGAATAAAATTTAATAGACGAATACCCTTCATAATATATGATCAGTAATCTTCAAAACATGTTAGTTAAGGTAATAAAGGTAAGCTGGCAAGACTTGATAGGTTTGGCTATACAATAACAGAGATGGAAACAGGGCTGTCAACTCTCAATAAAGTAAACTGTAGGCAAAAAATCTGACGACCGAGTGACGAGTGACACTTATCACCACTGGAATATTGTACAACGAAAAAAGGACAGTGACTTGTTACACACAACCCTATGTGAGCCGAAGAAATCTACGGGAATCCACAAATCAAAACTGTAGCTCGGATGTTCCATATGCAAACCCGAAGTGTCAACCCTAGTTGAAAGCCTATAGATAGATGTAGAGCCTAGACTTGCGGGTGCATCGTCCTCATTCCTGTTCTTAGGTTCCCGTTGAACCGCGACTAGTATTCACGTCTTAGATTCTCTATTCAGAATTTTAATATTCGAATTTCAAATGATATTGTTATGTTGGTATTTTAAAATGTGCAACGTTCCGATTGTTTTAGTTTTGTGTATTGCAATTTGTTTGGTAAGTTACTTCGAAATTAGATTTTCTTAATTTAACATTGTAATCTCATTGAAGATAAATTTTATTTATCTATTGAAGATTGAGTTAGACAAATAGTTTGTCGTAGTCGTAGATATTTAGATAATTGTTTTCAAATGAATTAATTTTGAGGTATTTTGATTGATTTATAAAATTACCTATTCATATAAGGAAACCTAGATAGAAATTAGCTGAACTGCAAATTATTACTTTTATTAGTCTAATTTAGTCTCAAATAAATACATAATATTGATATCATAAATTACAAAATACCGGATTTCTTTTTACAACAAAATTAATCCGGTATCTCATTATGTTTGGAGGAACAAAAATTTTAGTACCAACACGTTTTTATTTCTCTTTATATTGCAATAAGAATGAGAAATTTAGGTTCTAATTTATTAAGCGGTTCAGGTCGGGTATATCACGAACTGGTTTTAAAAAATAAGATGTTTTAATAAAAAGGTAAAAGGCGATGATCCAAGGGCAAGTGACGACGACCCATATGAAGAGAGATATGGCTGCAACTGTCGTAAGTAATTCTTTAATTAGTATTTAAAGTAAAGACGAAGATCCACAAGGAGTGATGTTGAATAGAATCATGATATCTACGGGTGAAAGGCTATTTTGACTTTTCTACCATATGTATTCAGAATTAGCGACTTTAAAATATGAAATAAATAATGAAGTATGCAGAATTATAGTAATTTTGATCTAGAACTAATCTAAAAATGAAAACTTTAAATGGCTCTCGTGAACATTTAATCTAATGGCGTTTAAAACCAATAGCCTTGCACCCATCGATGTATGTTATGTTTAAAAGGTTGTGGTGAGCGTAATGAAGCACCCCGTATCGTGGGAGGTGAGGAGACTAATGTGAACGAGTTCCCCTGGGTAGCACGACTGACTTACTTCAACAAGTTCTATTGCGGTGGTATGGTTATCAATGACAGATATGTACTTACTGCCGCACATTGTGTTAAAGGGTAAGTATTACGTCTTTTAAAGAGGTTTGATAACTTTTTTTTATAAATAACTGGCTGTTGTTCGCAACTTTGTCCGCGTGTAATTAAAAAAATATACAGCCTATGTTACTTATTGATGACATGGTTTTATGTGATGCAGGAATTTTCGAAATCGGTCCAGTAGTTTTTGAGTTATTTTAATGTATAAAAAATCCAAATATACAAATCTCTCTTCTTTTTAATATTAGTATAGATAAACTAACGCTGGAACACGATCTATTTGGTGTTTGTAGTAGTATTTTTATAGTAAAATCCAAAGTTAACTAGAAATTACATTTAACATTCTACAGTTCCAATAATATTTTCTTGCAGATTGATGTGGTTTATGATCAAAGTGACACTAGGAGAGCATAACCGGTGCAACGAGACGCATCGGCCGGAGACACGTTACGTCATAGAAGTGATCGCTCACAATTTCACGTACGTCACGTTCAAAGATGACATCGCGTTACTCCGATTATCAGATCGTCTGACTATCACTGATACAATCAAGCCTGTCTGTTTGCCGCATAATGATGGTGAGTACAAGTCAATGCAATTGTTTTTGTCTTTAACGTCATTTATCTACTCCTAGTAGAGCTCTTCTACCACATTCCTCAACATTGTATTTTTCAAAAGTATTAATAGAGAGTAAGTATAGAAAGGTGGATTCGATCACACGATATTATTTTTGTCTACCAGCATTCTAGATTATTCGCGTTTCTGCGTGACAAATCGATTTAAACTGGTATTAATTTATAAATGGAACTGGATTTAGTGTAATAAATAGGTTATGCTACTGTTCATGATTGAAATCTTATCTAAAACATGGAAAAAAACATCGGAATACTGAATAAATTAAGTTTTGTCATTAATTTAATTACGGTCTATATCTATATCTATAATATATACTTTTGCATTCTTTGATGGGTTTAATTTCTTGGTATTCTCTTGCTTGGTGAATATGTTGCAAGTGACTATTTTTTTTAAAATAAGGTAGCGAACAAGCAAGCGGCCACCTAAATCGGTCAAAATAGCGAGCCTACCGCTGCCCATTGGACATCCGCATTTGCTGATGTGTTGCCTACCCTTAATCGACGGATGAAACGCTCATGAAAATAATATTTCCTCTTTCTGTGGGTCTCCTCCAAATCCACTTTCCCTTCCCATATTTTCCTTATAAGAAAAGGGTGGGCAGGAAAAGGAACTAAAGTTAAGCTTCTGGCACGCACACTAATTCAAACGAAACGCGGAATTGCTCCCACTTCGCGGCTGTCTTCTGTTTCGTCATGATATTGCTTCATGCTTATTGCTAAAGCGAAGATGTTTGCTTCTACCACCGTTTAATTAGATGTTGTTGGGCAATATATGTTGATTCATTTTACTTATTAACATAATACATTTTAATACATGCTATTTATGTTAATTGTAATGTGACATGATAATCACCTCATTGTTCGTACTTAATTAGAATGTTATTTCATGCTAATGTTATTATTAGATTATTCTGAAATTCCGTGATGATGACGGTTTAAAGGAAATAATAAAAAATCAGCCATTTCATTTTTTACTTCATGGTGATAAGGTTGAAATGATAATAAAACCATTTTTAGGAAACAAATACGTAGGTGTCAAAGCTATAGCGGTTGGCTGGGGCTCTATAGGAGAACAGAAAAACCACTCCTGCTATCTTCTGGATGTAGAACTACCAGTGCTAAGCAACGAGGAGTGCAGGGACACCAAGTATGAGACGTCAATGATAGCTGACAGCATGCTTTGTGCAGGCTTCCCTGACAAGGGACAGAAGGATACGTGTCAGGTAATTTGGAAAGTAACATATTGAAACCTCAAAAAAAAAGAGTTACATCCTCTGATGGTTTGGTATTTGTACATTCCTCTTTTATTTTTGTGTAAACATATATTCAAAATGATGATTATGAATTGTTGAAGTTTTCGTACGTGAGTTTTTTTAAATAAATTCGATTAAAAGAAAGTTGTAGTTCCTCTGTCAAAAGGTAAGGTCTTATATAACAACTATTTTGTTTTTCTTTAGGGAGACAGCGGAGGCCCTCTATCGGCTGAGAGAGGAGATAAAAGATATGAACTGCTAGGTAAGACATATCTATTATTTTAATATTCCTAACAAGGAAATGTTCTAAGGACAATCATATTTCTATTCCGATAAATAAAGTACAGAATGAGCTAACTATTTATAAACCACATTAGTGTTATCTGAACTTGTAACCTTTTTCAAGCTTTCGTTTCCTAATATTTAAGGATTTCTTTTGGGTTTTGAAATACAATTTGATTTTCAGGCGTGGTGTCGTGGGGCATTGGCTGCGGCCGTGCGGGTTACCCCGGGGTGTACACCAGGGTTACTAAGTATCTGTACTGGATCAAGCATAACGCGCGTCAAGGATGCTTCTGTGCTGATTAAATATACATATGTAGTTGCCTAAGTTCAAATCATCTGATGAAAGGAGTAATATTTCTTAAGGAATAAAACATGTGCCTGTTTTCATGACTAGAGTCGTTACTTAGAGTTTCTGTTTTCGTTTTTCCTTTTCTGTTTTGTTTTCCTTTTCTGTTTTTTAGTGTTTCTGATACTAAATGTAAGAAAATATAAAAGTAAGCTTGATGGCCACTTAATAATTAAGGGCTGCAGTAACAATGAAACTATTGATTTCACACTTAAATATGTTGCGATGTTCCAGGGGTTTTTAGTTCAAGAATAATTTAAATAAGACTATTTTGTCATTTTTCTTATTTAGTTTATTTAAAACGTACAAAAATGCTAAGCAACTAAATTATTTATTTTAATTATATACGTAGTTTGATTTATCATATCAAACAAACTTTTGTTAACAATATACTTTGTTATTCAAATACATATTAATTAAATAAAAAGAATAAGACTTATTCATCAACTAATATTTGACCAAAAACCTTCCTAACTAATAATCATCTTAAAAAGAATAATCACAAGTTATCAAAATCTGAAATAAAACTGTTTTCTACAAATAGAATAATGGGAATGATAATGTTTTAAAACAAGTTTTGGTAATGAAAACTATAATTACAATATCGAAGATTAGTCGAATAAAGCTGTCTGTCCACTGAGAGAAACTTTGCTATTGGTTGTTTCAGTCAGAAATCATATAAAACCTACATAACTGTATAGTTAGAGTTAGCCCCTAAGTACTCGACGCGGACATATATTGTATTGCGAAAGCCATTTAGAGACTAAAATCTCAAACTTGCTGTGTACGAAGGGGTTTAGAGAGTAATATGCAAACTTAGCTAAAATTTAAGCTTTCGTAACATTTCTGTTCACATTTTTATTGTTCACATTTATAACATCCTTTTCATTAAATAGCGGCAATCCTTGATCATGTAAGTCGGCGCTGGGTGCATCATATTTAGTATTATAACTAGGGTTTAAAGGATGAAGTGGTCCGAAAGCTGTGACTCTTGCTCTAGCCTCGTCGTTACCAAGATCGTAGTGCGTACCATCTCCTGTACGCATTATCCTTTTTGCGACCTGAAATCAAGTGCTATTTGTATACTCTTGTTCTCCTGGTTTTACTTGTTCATTTATAATGATAGAAATATATCTGTTGCTCTTCGAGTAGTTTTTGGTAGTCAGATTTAACATTTTAATTCAAAAACAATTGATCTTTTAAACCTTTTCGAACTAAGACTATTACTAACATTATGATCGTTGCTACTCATGTAAGTGAGTTGTTACTTAATATTGTGGATAATAAGATAAAATTGCGCCTTAATCGCAAATAAGCATTAAGTTATAGACAAGTACAACTTAATAGGGACAAATTTTCTGTAACTCTCTAATTAGCAAAAATTTTATTGTAATTTTTTTAAAACCTAACAAAATTAGTGTAACTTACCATATCTGGAGACGCCGTCTTTAAGTTGTACGCTAGACCAATTTTTTCGAACCATCTTATTAGGGTTGCAGAGAAATTAAAATGCATCGAGAGTTCCGCAGCTTTGTAGTCCCATGGAAATGTGTGGTGGTAGTTGTGCCAGCCCTCGCCCAAGCTTAGCCACGACACAAACCAGGATTCTACAGGTTGAAGATTTCTGGAAAGCTTCCCTTGTATTAATATTAAGTTTTAAATATACTAACTGGCATAATTATTAAATTAGTATGGAACGCTACTTTGCGGTTCTGACTTTAAAACAAGACGGCCGAAGGACTGAAGAATATCAGATTCTTCAAAGTCAAGCATTAAAATCGAAGCTGACAGTCGGAAATAAAGTTAATCGATCAAGGAAACTTACTTATCATAAGGTCTTGTACCATAAAGATGAGCGGCACTATTCACAAGCCACGTTCCGTTTACTTGGAAAAGATACCGAAGGAAATAACAAACTAGAAGCGAGTTCAAGAAAGTCTCTCCAAAATACTGTATCGGTACCCACACGGGTATAAAAAGAGCGAAAATCACGTACAGAGGATAATAATACCTGAAACAAAGCAGTTAAAAATAAATCAACACTAGCCAATGTGTTCTTCCAGACTACCCTCTACATCTATACAAAATTTCATCGAAATCCGATCAACCGTTTAGGCTACAAACTCTAACAAACATTTATCCGTCTAAACTTTCGCATTTATAATATTAGTATGATAATATCATCAGGATAGTAACAGAACTTTGAAACCAAGTGGGAATTCGAAAACATTTTTATCCCTGCTGTTAAAGCGAACATAGATTATGTACGGAATTTCTTTGTTTAACGGACTCCTACCAAGAATAGTGCGTCTACTTTTTAACAGCAAGTATACTTACTTGGCTAATCAGTTTTTTTATGAATTCCAGTTACTTTATGAATCCAAATAATAATAAATTAAGGTAAACTTACTTCTTTTGGAACATCACCATCCAGTCAGCTTCTAGATCGCTCATATCGATCCTTTTCCCCAGTTCTTTCACATAGGGATGTTTCTTCGACATTAGCCATCCTACGTGAGAGAAGAAAAAGCCTCGCTTCGCGTTGTGTGGGTCACCATCAGTGTCAGAATATCGGTGATGCAGACGATGGTCTCTACACCAAATGTACATCGAATTCTGTGTAAAAAGTATATAAGCTTTTGTAATGTCGTTGTTGAACCATTTGCTTATCTAAGATTCCAGTTTCATACTTTTTCTAATAAAACTATATTAGTTTCAGGTTCTGAATTCTTTTAATAAAAGTGTATTTTTTTTTAAATAATGCAAGGTGGCAAACGAGCGAGCGGCCATCTAAATTCGCCAAAAAGCGAAGCAATCGCTGCGCACATACATGCGCAATTGCAAATGTGTTGGCTAACTTTAATCAACTGAGAAGGAGACGCACATAAAGAAGATACTACCTCGTCTCCTCCATTGTCAAATCCACTTCCCATTCCCATTCTTTCCATAGAAAGGGACTAGAATTTGGCCACCGTATTAAGTGTTTAAGATTAATTAATAACATGGGTACGTTTAGGTAGATACCTGGAAAAAAATTACGTAAAGATTTACCTGTCCAGCTGACGTTTGTAATGCCAGGAGAATAGCTCGCAAAAGAGGAGTAGCCGAAAATGATTTGTGCGCGTACAGTCTATGAGCGCCGATGGTGATACCTTCAGTTGTGACAAACGCAAGAAAAATAGCTGTAAACAAAACAAGACATGTTAAACCATAATTAACTCAAGTGTATAGAAGGAAGGCTTTAGAATTCTTACCCCATAAAAATGTTTTAAAGCCAACGCCTCCTGTTATTAACACGAATAAACCCCATAATGCTAATAGATGGAGAATCAAAAATCCTATAGCATTTTTCCACACTATTTCATGTTTATACGAGTAGTCGGTCCCGATAACTCTGGCTGGTGTATAATTATTTTTGATAATTGAATCTAATTTGGAATCAACATAAGGTATGTTAGTCTGTCCAGTTGACAAATCTTCAGCGGTCATCGCGACGGTAATTTCTGACTTACTGCTCCAAAAGAAATTAATTATACGCTTATAAAGCTGTTGATGTTCTATTAATGAATAATGTTCTTATTGTATTCAGATAGATTGCATAAAAAACTACACTTGAACTACAAGTTCAAATAACTAATTATAGATACATGTGTTTAATGTGTCAATATGTTGTCAGATATAGTCGTACGGTAGGCTTCCATTATTAAAACTCTTGAAAAATATCCCTCTTATTCATATAAAGAAAAAAACAAAAACCGTACCGGCTTGATCTCTATGACTGGAATAGCGCCATCTATTGACTGCGTTTTAAAAGAGACATTTAAAAATATAAATTAAAGTATACAAACTGAAAAATTATATCTGTAAAACTTTTATTGTTTCACCTCTCCTGATATGACATAGAAGAGTCTAGAAAAAAGAGGATATTATATACCTCTTCCTGTGCGTTCCCTTCTCTACCAAATCTATCTATGAAAGAGGTTTCATGTGTTACACACATCCTTGTCAGCGAAACGCAGAATTGTCTTCTGATCCACTATTCCTCTGTATTCTATGTGGTCGTGTTATTCTACCAGTTTTGGTTGTCAGTTGGTTAACTTAATATAGGAAAATAGCGTACCATTTTTACCTACCTTTTCCTATGAAAAACAGTTATAAAAGTAAGTGCGCAATGCAATTCCTAACATAAATTATGCTCGAGTGAGCTTCTAAATCAAATCTCGGTTTTAATTAACGTTACGCATGCGAATTATCAAGATATAGGTACTCAGTGGCGACTAACAATGTGTCTAACATATGTTTGTTTGTAAAAAATGTATGCAAATAAAATGAAAATAGCACTGCTTCTGTTTAATATCATCATCAAATATGTAATTGTTAACAACTTAATTTAATTAAAATTTCTTTGTAAATGTATATTGATTTTTTTATCTTTTGTTATAGTGTGCAGGAGAAAATATCAATTATTCATGCGGTAAGAAATTATTTCGTTTGTACAAGTTCAAGTCTCCGAACCTGATATACAAAGACCTTAAGCATTTGATACTCGTAGTATTTCATGACGCGAACGACGAAATAATACTTCGCCTTATCTTATAATGCCAGTCATATTGCGATAGAAAACCGTATTACAATTTTGAATTCCCTTTGTCCGATTTTAATAAGTCAATTGTTTTCTGGACAATTTAGAATTCACGTTAGTTGTCTAGAGATCTTATTATTCCTCTTTCTTAGTCATCATGCATTGTGATGGTACTTTTGAGTAATCAACCTTCACTGTTTTTCTCGTTCTATCTTTCAATTCATAAAATGAATAATGAACCTTTCTTACTCCTGCTAAGGTAAATTAACTATATTTTATTTTTCAAAACCTAGAAAGAATGCTAGCAATAAAATACTAACCAAAATATAAATGAATTAAAAATACTGCTACTACCAACAAATTAAACATCCAATACCATTGCTATTCTAATATGCCAGGAGTGAACATTTTAAACACACAACCCTAAAACGAACCTTTTTATTCTTGTCAAAACATAAATTATATGCATCATTTGACTGTAGTGGTCTAAATTTTACTTATATAACTTTATAATCTAATTCTAGATATTCTAGAAATCTCAAACTGTAAGGCGAAAACTTCGTAATGCTTCTAAAAATTTACTTGCATCATTTTACATAGAATGCGGTATCGCCGGTAAAAACCGTCGCATAGTAGGCGGGTCTGCAGTGCAACCACACCAGTATCCGTGGCTGGTGTCGCTAATGCTCGGACAGAAGCTGCATTGCGGGGGCGCCATCATCACCGACCTTCATATCCTGACAGCCGGACATTGTATTACCTTCGGGTGAGTTTTACATTATCATACGTCCCCACAGAGTTCGAAGCGCGTTAGCGAACAACAAATATGAACATACTAGCTGTTTCCGTGCGGCTTCATTCGCAAGAAATTATGAAAATTTTATTTTATTCTTTACATTTGTCAAATTATCAATAGCAAATTTCAAAATGACATGACATGACATGACAAACATTACCAATCTTTTTTCCTTGATGTTGGCAGCAACTTATGGTCTCTTTCCCACATTACGGATTTTACCCCCTAAGCTTAATGGCGTGAAAATATATATAATAGCTTAAAGCATGACGTAAGTGTAGGGCTTTTTATTAAACAAAGAATTATTTAAAAATATGCTGTAATTGCTGACATCTTAGGCAACAAACTAGTGTGTGTTTACGCTTTATTATAATAATATAGAAGTATAGATATAGTTTTAACCCTTGCAACTTTTATCTTACATTTCAGACCATAACAAGCTTTTGTAAAGATTGCTTTGAAACGATTGTATGGTAGTGTTTTAATTGTTTTTCAAGTTTTAGTAGTCCAAGAAATACAATTTTAACTAAAATAATAAAGTGAGATTCATTGTAATTTTTGGCTGACTTATGAGTTTCTGTTGTAATAACCAGGGTACATTTCCGAGATTTGACGGTTAACGTGGGGATGCACGACCGACTGAGTTCATCATTCTCCGTGTTCTCCGTGATAAAGGGTGAAAAACATCCTAACTTCAAGTCGAACGCGGTGAGAGATATAAACGACATCGCTGTTCTGACGCTGGACAAACGATTGAAGTTCTCTGATAAAGTGCAGCCGATCTGTTTGCCGAATGAAAGTAATTGTTCTATTATTTCTGGTTGATTAATTGCCAAATACTAAAACGAATCTTCGTAAGCTTCGTAAGCGCCGATTACAATTTGAGAGACGTCAAAGTTTATAAGGAATTTCCAGTTTAAGCGTACCTTTATTATTTAAGTCGTTACATATTTAAATGACGTTTCAGTATTCGACCGAGAATCTATTTAAAAGTAACAACAAATTATGTATTTCTAAGAATTACTTGTATCACGTAACTTGCGTACGTGTACGTTGACGTAACTTAATAAAAATATTTCATTTATGAGAGTGATGTATGATGTTTGATTCTAAGTGGGAACCAAATTAAATTCTTTGGCTGCCAAATCAAATTTAATTTGTTTCTAATTCATGTTTCATCTAGATATCGAATTCAGTGACATAGTGCTAACGGTAGCTGGATGGGGTAAAACTAGACAAGGTGCGTTGACCTCGTCGAGATATCTTCAAGAAACCAAAGTCAAACAAGTCGATTCAGACGAATGCACTAAATCAACTATATACAAAGATAACCTTGTCCCGGAGGCAATGATGTGTGCTTACAATCTTGGGAAGGATGCGTGTCAGGTACGTGTATTGTTAACATTTTATCTCGGCGGAATATAATGCTATCCCTTTTATTCTCATAAAGAAAACAAAGATAACAATAATTATACATGTGTTTATAATTAGAAATCCAAGTATTCATTACTAATTGTTGCAACTCAGAAGTAATGAATTAAGAACGATTTACTATCAAAGACAGCCATCTTTATTATCTGTCACATGCTCATTTCCTTTTTTTATTACAGTTAAATATTGTTAGTGGCGATTTAATTACGTTCAATTGTGTTTATGTATACTATATGAGTCATTTGTACATTATATGAGTTTAAATTGACTTCAAAAATAATACCATTAGTATTGTATTACACACCGTAGAAAAGCAACCGAAGATAATTGATTCGCGGCTATTAGGTCGTAATTAGGTGTTTAAATATTCAAGTCTTACATTTAATCGTAATATTAATTTATTTGTGGTTAAACATAGTTGCACAACCTTATTCTATGTATATATATAAAAGAAAGTCGTGTTAGTTATTTATAACTCAAGAACGACTTTACCGATATGGCTGAAAATTGTGTGAGGAGGTAGCTTAGAGCCAGGAGACGGACATATACTAATTATTCCGTTTATGGATGGATGTTTCTCTCTCTCGATTAAATTAAACATCTGAGCTAACTCAGATATTAAGGGTAGTCTGGAAGAATACATAGGTCATTTACTTTCGTTTTTTTAAATTAACTTTTTTGTTTAACAGCTAGTAACAAGTAATATTGATTTCAGGGAGATAGTGGAGGACCATTATTTTCAACTCATCCAGTTACTCACAATTCGAAATGGTACCAAGTCGGTAAATGTCAACTATTTAATTAAATTAATAAATAAAAAAGTCATTACGGAGTAAAGGAAATAATATACTTTAAACTATGGCATTGGGTTTAACTATGCATTAAAAGGGTAACCTACATTTTGATTCACAAATAACCGAATGACGAATTCGAACTCATGACGTATCGGTACTTTGTATACTCAACCATTAGGGTGCAAGGGGCTTAAATGTTAATTTAATGTTTTCTAAATATATTAATGAAAAATATAATATTTACATTTTCAGGAATAGTATCATGGGGTATAGATTGTGCTATGCCTGGTTACCCAGGTAAGTACTTGACTACTTAATCCTAACTTCTATTATAATTATTTTTTATAAGAATTTAACAAAGGTAGTTTTTCTAACCCCAATGAAAATAGGGACCTGTGTTACATAAAAATATACATGAGAGCATGTATATTTTTATGTACTGCTGAATGAGTGTTATGATTGATTTTGTATTTATCCTAAGGCTAATGTTTTTTACAAGCAGTTATATTATGATTTGTATATTCCAGGTGTCTACACGATTGTTTCAAAATATATTCCGTGGATCAAACAACAAACGACAGAAGGGGCGTACTGTAGATAGATTTAATATAGGCACAAATAAAATCGAAGTTTTGTAAAACAATTATATATAGAATACAATTTTGATTAAAATAACACTGTTATAAAAAATAAACTATAAAGTATAGACTTTTGTATTAATGTAATTTTACATTTTATTGATATATTCGAACGAATAGAAAATGTTATTTTATGCACATTTCTATAAACCAATATGCTTCAACAGTCGACTCGTACTTTCGATGTTTTTAAGTCTTTTTTACTATTTTTAAAATATCTAGATTAATAAATTTCGTTTCTTCCATCTTGATTGGTAAAATTATAGGTTAGGTTTACACAGATTAGAAATATTCGTATAATATTCGTACAATGCCGTATTAAATCTACAAGGACATTATCGCGTGCATAATTTCCGCACTGCAAAACCGTGTAAACCGTAAATAAGCATCAAGTGTCGTAAGCAGAAAGTAGTGCGGTGACCGTGCCTTGGACTGTTTCAAGTGTTTTAAAAAAATAATGTTTTATATTCTTATAGTTTTTACCACATTAACACATGTAAGTACGAACAAATGATATGCAGAATCAAATACTTGCCCCTTCTATAATAATTAAGTAAAATAGAGAGATTTTTTTTTAATTTTAGGTACAATTGCTATGGGGATTAGATTGTGGTAAGTTAAGATTGTTACTAGCTTCGTATTTCAACGAAATGGAACGTTCCTTCAATAAACATGCTTTCGTTACTGATAAGAAATCGATAAACTATATGATACAGCTGAAATAAAATAAGATGTTTTTCACCATTAGATTCACTAGAGTTTTTTGTTAAATCCATATTTTACTAAAAGAATAATTGCTCGGGAGAATTATGTCATGGATCAGCTTGTTTGCTTGTTTCTAAAATGACATGCTATTCGATGCAAGCCATGCATTACAATTAACGCTAACAACTGCCAGGTGAAAATTGAGTAACAATTAGTTTTTATAATAACATTTTTTAATTACACAGAATGCGGGAAGCCGTCGGATTCAGTTTTCTCTATGAGAATCGTGGGGGGCAGGAGAGCGGAGCCCCATTCATACCCATGGACTGTAGCCATCATAAACAACGGTCGCATGCACTGCGGGGGCGCACTGATCACTACTAAGCATATACTCAGCGCTGGACATTGTTTTAAATGGTAACCACTTGTACATACCTCCTGACTAACCTAGTCGTAGAGATTGCTTAGTGGCACTCGAATATTAAAATACAGTGCAATCCAAACTTTACGACGGCTTGCTATTTCACAAAAGACGTCATGAAGAATACAATTATAGATATGTCCCTCTCATAAAGTACTCACTCGTAAAAGCATATGAGGCATAAGCCCGTGTAAGCTTTCTTCCATGTGCAGTGAGAAAACCTAGCACCCATTTACGCAGCCATTCGCACATAGCAAATCACGAGCTGCCATAAATTTTGAATCTTACAATACCGTTATTCATAAATATTACTCGGAATAATAATAATTACAGGGACTCCATACGAGATATGATAGTTCTTATCGGTTTGGACAACATGGACGATTTGTCTACCGTTGAAAAACGTAACATATCGTCGGTGGTCATCCACGAGCAGTTTTCATCGACAGCTCTACGAGACGAAAATGATATAGCAATAGCTACTTTGAATGCTTCTGTACCATTTGGAGACACGATTGCACCAATATGCTTACCGAATCCAGGTATGTAATAACAATTAAATGAATTAACTTGTACAATAAAAGTTCAAGTGAGAACTAGCCTTCTTTCTCTTTAGGGCAAAGTTTCGGTGGTTACGTTGGCACTATAGTGGGCTGGGGACGAATAGGAGTTGATAAAACTTCATCAAGAGTTCTCATGAAGGCGTCACTAAAGATACTTTCTGACGAAGATTGTATGGCGTCTAAACTGGCAGACCATCTCAAGCCAATGATGATGTGTGCTTTTTCTAAAGGAAAAGACGGCTGTCAGGTGAGCTAGTTAGTATGTTAGCAGCTTAAATGTAATTCATCAACGTCGATTGGTGCGAACCTAACGGTCAATCTAACGTGTTTAGATTTTTAATTGCTTGAATACTTAAGAAATGAATCACGCGTCACAGGGTTCAGTCCCAGTAAGTTAGTATTTCAAACGCAATAACTAAATTAAATTCGCTTTAAAGAAGAATCCAGTTAGAACACTGCAGAAAGATATTTTGATTTGTACAGAATTTTGGTTTCTCAACTACTAAAAGAATTAAAATATCAAAATGAAAAAATCCTGATTTGACGAAAATCAACTAATGATTTGACGCTGTTTTATTTATTTCTTTAGGGGGATAGCGGAGGCCCGCTTTTGGTTTATGACACAAATGGAAGATATGTGCAAGCAGGTAAATATTTAAAAGGAATTTTGGTTAAGTTAAAATAACCAAATTCCTGATACTTGACGTAATATTAAGATATACAATTAAGTACAAAGCTCGCAGGGTTGTAAAACATTATCTACGTTAGGTATGGTTATTGGTGTCCAAAATCGTATGTGAAGTTCAAATTGCTTTGATGATCATTTCTACTCAGGTGTCGTTTCATGGGGAATTGGTTGTGCCGATCCGAGATATCCAGGTAATAAATAAATTAAAATCATTGAAATTAAAGTTCAGTTACAACGACTGCCCGTGTTGCCATAATTTGCATCTGCTTATCAAAGTTGTGAGATTATAGGAAAAAGATTTTTTTCTGACAGACTTCTTCCTCTTATTGTTAATACTTTTGATTTTTGGTCCCATTATATGTATAGTTCTATAGTAATGTTATAAAGAGGAAAGATTTGTATTTTTGTATGTATTGAAATACCATGGCCTATATTGAAATTGTTTTTTTTTTTATTCCACGCTGACGAAGTCACGGGCAACACTTAGTTTGTTTATATAATCAATGTTTTTACTTTTACAGGAGTGTATACTAAAGTTAGTTACTTCATTGATTGGATTCAGCGACATTTAACTAATGGAGAAATGTGTGAAAATTAAGTGAATTTTGTAAATAAAATACTGGAACTAATACCGTTTTTAATTTTATTTTTAAGGAATAATGTAAAGCATATTAATAATTAACTAATTATTACTAGGCTAAACCTCACAAAACTAAAGGGCACAGTTTCGGTCTTATCGAGGTCTATCTTTAGACATCAAACTTACATTGTTTCTTATCGATAAAAGGGCGTAGTTGAGTATGTATCTTTCATTTAATAATGGATGGAGATTGAAAAATCTAAAAAAAAAAGAAGTATGTATTTCTATACAATAATTGATGACAAGAGTTTTTGTTAATCTTACAGTGTAAAATTTCCTTACAATTAAATATTAAAACTTGATACCGCCATTTTTTCATATTTTGTTAAATCAAAAACTTGTCAAAAACGTGCATCTTGAAAATTGTGATGTGGCAACTTTATACTTTCATGCAGTAGTCTCCCAAGTATTGCCACACTCAATAAATCGGTGCAAAATGTCAAACTTTTTTGTGAGCTAAGTTAAAATTATAGTTAAAGAGAACTAAAAATACAGATTTTATGTTTGATATTGAGTCACCCTATTACGGTACATAACGCCATAGTGCTTCTACGTAACAAATAATATTATATCTGACAATGCTACGTATATTTCTTAGGTGATTGTGATTGGTTGTTGTTGGCTTGCTGGTGACAGTAGACTAGATTCCATCCAGTTGTTAGGTTTTTGTCCTACTTGTTATCAATCTTCGTAAATAATTCGACCTAATTCTAACAAATGTAGTTGTTCTCAGTGAAATCTTCATTTGTTTCGTTTAAATAGTTAAACTTAGTATGAATAAAGATGCCTGGAATAAGAAAATATCGACGTGATACCAGCGAAGTCAGCTGTTGTTTGAAATATGTTATATTTGGTGTTAATGTGCTATTCTGGGTAAGTTAAACATAATGATTTAGTTAACAGTAATGATATTACACATAGTTAAATACGTTTAAGAAGTTCTAACTTTGAAAAATATTAATGAGGTTGATGAACAAAGGTTTTAATTCAAGGCTTCCATGTGTGAACTATCTCTTTATTAGCTTTGTGAAGATTTGTTGCTATTATTATATTTTGTATTTCGGTATTTAAAAAGTAATTTTGATTCCAATGATACAAATAATTCGCATTTGTTTAAATTCATATCAGTTTCCAAAATAGAATTTAATTGACGTGAAAATTAACAGGATATCATACATGAATAAATCTATACTATGAAATGGTGATTTCAAAATTGATCAGAACACAATAAATAGTTTGTCTCAATAGAAATAAGAGAAAAAAGTCACAATAAAACACAAAGCATGTTAAAAAAAAAGACATTAATAATTACTTTAAGGTCATTTAAGCAATAAATTTTAGTCTCTTGGAATCTAATTTAATGGAAAAAATATTGACCATAAATTTCTGATATTTTTCAGTTTATGGGACTCATAGTATTAGCTGTTGGTATTTGGGCATGGATGGAAAAAGATACATTCAATAATCTATCTAGATTAACAAATATTGCACTGGACCCAGCATTTATATTAATATGTGTTGGTGAGTAATAATTTTATTTACAAATAATTTAAATCGCTAAGTCCATACTCTACAGTTCAAACTGATGTGGAAAGGCTACATTTTAAACTGTTTCTTCCTACATTTAAAAAACTGAGGGTGTAGTATTTCTCTATTATTTATCTTTTCTATTATTATTTTATACTAGATGTTGTTTGTGGCTTCGTCTGTCTTAAATTAAATAATAACAAAAATGCCTATGTTACTTACTGACAACATAGCTTTTAAATGGTGAAAGAATTTTTAAAATTGGTCTTGTAGTTTTTGAGTTTCAATACATACATAATTTCAGAAATACAGATCTTTCCGCTTTATAACATTAGTATAAAAGATAAAAACAAATGAACCATGGAAGTTAAATGTGGTTTGTTTGATTTTGCTTTTTTGTGTTTTCATAACAAAAGGAAACGTAATTTTAGTAACTTATATTTATATGTTATATTTTCTGTATTTATCATTTTAATAAAATAATTAAGGAAATATCTGTTTGATTAATACGTAACTCTATTTACAGGTACAATAACATTTATTATTGGCTTTACGGGTTGTGTTGGTGCCTTACGTGAGAACACTTGCCTTTTAGCTTGTGTAAGTATCATTGATAAAAAATTACTGTCAAAAACAAGTATATCATCATCATCAGCTCACTATACGTCCCCACCGAGGGGCTTGGAACCTACCCAAAGTTAGGGTGACTAAGCCATAGTCAACCATGCTGCACTGTGGGTTGGTTGACTTCACACATATCTTTGAATATCTTCGCCGATATATGCAGGTTGCATCATGATGTTTTCCTTCTCCATAAGAACGTCGGGTAAATTATGTAAATATGAAAATTCAAAAAATCACATTGGTACGGCGGCATTCGAACCCAAGACCTGTAAATTACAAGTCAAATGCTGAGCCACTAAGCCACCAAAGCTCGGAAACTAGTATATGAAAATGACCACTGCTTAGCATATAAAAGGAAGGAAAATATATAAAAGAATGCATATTTTTTATCCTGTTTCCTTCTTTTTGGCTCATTGGTAATAAATTTGAAATGTAATGTTTTTTTTTTATTTTCAGTATGCAGTATTTTTAGCATTATTGTTACTAGCTGAAATGACAACTGGAATTCTATTTTTCGTGTTTAAAGATTGGGTAAGCTAATTACTGTATTTACATATTTTTTGTATTAGAAATTATTGCTTATTGTTGTAATTCTAAAGAAAAATGGTTATTGTGGTTAATTGTTTTTTTTTATGTATTTCAGATCAAACAACAAGCTACAAGTGGGTTCCAATCATTTATAACACATTATAGAGAGGATCCTGACCAACAGAATTTAATTGACTGGATACAAGGAGAATGGGTATGGCATTTTATATTACTCGTTCATATTGAAATATATTATGACATCATAATTTCTCTTAATTAATGCAGGAATTAATACAAGATAAATGTTTAAAATATCATCAATAATTGAGATATTAAAATATAAAATCTTATTATATTACACGATTTTCTGGCTCTATCACGGACCAGACAAAATCTTTTTCCTTATAAATTGGGTAGAAACCATTAGTTACTAATGAGTGCTTTCTATCTCTGTATCAGAATTGATAAAGCCAATATTAAAACTACATGATCTTAAGTACAGGGAGAGTATAAATTTGTGCTTGCCTTTAGAAACTTGGCCCGGCCCTCGGTTTCTAAAATTAATATCTTTGTATTTGTCAATAACGTTTATACAGAATCATGATCTAAATTGAAGAATGGATGTATGTTAGAGTTTGTAGCCTTGGTGTAAAGATCATAAAGATCAGAGCACTTTTGTGGCGTGAAACAATCAAAATGTAGGTGTTGTTTTAAGTAGCCATGTATGAAGCCGAAAAATCAGCATATATAATAGTCAGTGGATAGAATGAAGTATGCAGATTTATAGTCATCTACGACTGGTCTGAAAATCTTTCAAATGAAATTATTATCATGATTTGCTATGAAATGGCTCTCTTGAACATTTAAGACAAATAGTCATACCAGTCGATATTTATGTATGTATGCATGTATGGTTTTTTTTTTATAGAGGGAAAAATGCTTTATAGCACTGTCAGACATGGGAGCTGCATGTATGGTGTGTCGGGCTCAGGCTCATTAGTATTCACCTAACCTAACATGAGTCCCGTTACCTGTATGTATGTATGAATGTATGTATATATGTATGTATGTATGTATGTATGTATGTATGTATGTATGTATGTATGTATGTATGTATGTATGTATGTATGTATGTATGTATGTATGTAT